GGAATTTTGTGTTAGGTACAAAAGGTAGTCTATTATTTATACAGAGTATTCCTTCTGCCCATAAATAATGTTAAACTTTATAAATCTGGCGTTCCAAATGTAAAGTCATCCTTCCTTTTTTTAATATAATCTACCATATTTTTCAATCACTTTTACACTCTTTCTCCTCTTAAAACAAAGTTATCTCTACCTTTTCTAAATCAAGGCAAATTCTTATGTGATTCTTAGGTCTATACTTTTTTTATGAACCTTAATGTATGTGTACAATGAGAAAACTTGGTTTTTTGCAAAAACAAAAAATCCACATGTCGGTCTATAAAAATATGTGAAGGTTCACATTTTACATATGAATCTTAGAGCCACGAAAGAACAACTCATCAATCAATTAATCTACTCTTCTGTATCTTTTTCAATTATTTTTATACTTTTTCTTGAACTTTAATTACATTGCCTCAAACTTGTCCTAAACTCCGTGTTTTCCATTTGTAACTTTACTTATGGGACGGAGGGTGTATAAAAGAGTAATTAAAGTGAGGATAAATTTGTCATGTTGTCATTGTCCGTCTAGAAAGTGGACAAATACAATAATAGCCCGTTCGGAAACTTAGGTTTAGATTTTAAATCCAGATTTGGTCCAAAATATTTTTTTCAATCTATAATCACAAACTAAAGTTTTTTATGAGTTTGATTCTATAACTTTTGGGTAAGTTGACATCAGAGCTTTGATAATCTAGATGTGATATGTTCAAACTTTACCGTCATGGCGTCATCCAGTTTAAAGTACGGAGTATCAATGTTCACTTATAAGGTTTGAAAAAATTAATCTCACATTCAAGTGAGAGATGTTAGAGTATAAATTTTTTCTATCTACAATACAAACTTAAATATTTACTTGAGTTTTTATTTGATATGATATAAGAGCCAATAGAAGCTTTGTACTTTATTCGTCTCAATTTAAATCGTTTGTTTTGGTTTACGATGTTTGATTGAATTTATTTTTCGTATAATTTATTTGAGAATTGGGGTGGATTAAAAGATAAAATTTGCATATTTAAAAACTACATTAAAAATTCTATGAAATAAAAGTTAACATGATTATATTATTTTATCAAATAAATAACGATAATATAAAAAAGGGAATAAAACTTGTTAATATTAAACAAGTAACTAAATTTAGAACGGAAAGAGTATACTATAACAAAAAAAATTATTTGTGGGATCAAACATGATCTTTTTTGGCAAATATCCCATGTGTGGATTGGGGAAATAAATAGTGGAATTTCCATGTTTCTTTGTGGGGGAAAGTCGAAGCAATAAAAGCCATTGAAATCGCCCAAACAATGGGTTAAAATATGATTAAAATTTTTTTGATAGGCCCAATGTTTAGCATATACGGAGTACTATAAAAAATAAAACTAATCATGTGATTGGACTTTGAGAAAACAAAAATGAAGATGCCAATTACACTTTGAGAAAGGCATGTTTCAATAAAAAAGAAAACTTTGGCAAATGACTTGTTTTTTTGCTTTAACTTTAATTGGTATTTGAAATATAAAGTATGAAGATTAAAATTGAAATTTTAAAATTAGAATTTGAAGAAAAGAATATAGAAACTACAAAGTTTAAAGCATCAAATCTAAATAAATAAAATTATAAGTTCAATAAGAATTATAAGTACAAACTTTTACTGTCTAGTATCTTTTCAAAGAGAAGTGCATGTTCACAAAAAAGATCAGCATAGATGATTGATTAATGGCCTTTTACATTAACATATTACGAGTATGTTGTATATTATGCAATATTTGGGTTACATATTTCACGAAAATATAAAATCTTAAGAAAATAATAGTGAAATATTCATGTTAATAACATTGATACAATTGGTTTTCTTGAAAGGTGAGGTTGGACCAATAATGCTAAGCCCAGTCCCCCAATTAAGCAAGCCTGCATGAAATGGTTCACTTGCTCAGTCTGTTAGTGAGTTATAATCCACGTAAAAAATGATATGAGTTGTATTAAAGACTATTTGAATGTAATGTTAAGATATCCACCAACCAAGCTAGAATGTTTCTTGTCGTTTAAAATGGTACAATAATTTATTAAAAATAAATAGGGTCCAAACCTATTAGAATTTGGTCTAATTTGAAATCGTTTATTCTTTGTCAAATCCGGCTCGATTTATATGTTCAATCCAATATTTGTACACCTAGGGCCTGTTTGGAAATATCATTAGTGATTAGCGTTAGCGTTTTGAAAAGACTATATACGGGCATCGTTTAGCGTTAGCGTTTTCAAAGTAATCTGCACCGTTAAAATTTTATCCAAAATGCTATCGCTAATCTCTAACGCTGTTCCCAAATAGGCCTCTCACCTAGTTTACTTGTTTTACACTTTTCAATTTATTTATAGTTCTATATATTTTTAAAATTTTTAAATTTAGCTTATTATTTCTTGGTCCCAATTTGATTTGGACACTTTTTTTGTTGGAATTTCGAAAAAATATATATTCTTAAATAAAAAAAAATATTTCATCCACCACTCTCAGTGTAGTTTTTAACATATTCCAATCATTAATCTTTTTTTCAAACCAAGAGAAATCAAACCGTTTAAATTAAAACGAGAAAGTATGTAGATTGTAGGGGTGAGCATGGTACGGTATGGTACAGTATTTGGCTCGTACCGATACCGTACCAAATATTTTGGTTCGGTATGAGATTTTGCTCTGTACCGATCCCGATCCCGAAATATCGGTTTGGTATGATTCGGGATGGTTCGGTATCGGTATCGGTACAAATCGAGATAAATATACATACCTACTTTACACGTTAATATTTAACAATACCCTTTTATTTTTGAAAATTAAAAGTGAATTTAAATAAAAAAAATATGAAAAATTTAAAAAAATGAATATTTAAATGCAAGAGATGCGTATCAAAACTTAGTTTATATTTCACAAACTAAAAAAATGAATGACAACAAAGGAGTATTTCGAATCTTTGTGAATACTTTTATGTTCATACACAAATATTAAAACTCAAATAAAAGTATAATTTACACATAATAGAATTTGAACCAAATTTTTTTAAAAATTATTATTTAGTGAAAGAATATATAAAAATATTACTCCGGAGTATCATTTTTATAATATTCTAGTATATATGTTCGGTACGGGATTTTCGGTATGAGACGTCACCTCGTACCGTTCCCGAATACCGTACCGGCCATTCGGTTCGGTACGGTTCGGTTTCTTCTCGGTATTTTTTCGGTTTGGTATTTTTCGGTTCGGTATTCTCGATTTTTTCGGAAAATTTCGGTATCGGTTCGGTACTTGCTCACCCCTAGTAGATTGTAGAATCAAAAAATGTCAGGTGGACACAACTTGTACGATAGTGTGTTACAGAAACACACAAACAACTATTGCACACAAAAAGTTAGGGGAATTTAACAAAATAATACTAAAACATAATGAATTTTTTAATGTTGTATCATAGGTTTTTATTTTCCAATGTAGTATCACTAGTTATTATCCACTGGTCAATGTTCAAGTAACATGTCTATTGCCACTGGACATTGTTCAATCTAAATGTCCATCAGACATTATTTCCACCACTAGACATTATTCAAGTACTATTTAAGGAATAAAAAATTTTACTCCCTCCGTCCACCTAAGATCTTCCCATTACGCGTTACGAGGTTTGACCGACTTTATTTTCAATTCAATTTAATTGATTGTAGGAGTAAAATTTTAAAATAAAATATATATAGTAATAAACTACATGAAAAGTTCTACAAAATTAGAGGTGACAAGACTATATTATTTTTCGAAATGACTAGTAAAAATGAGCAAACAAAGTGAGTAAAGTTTGACCCTATAATAACAAATGATATATGTTTAGTACGGAGTACTATTTAATGTGAATTTCACAAAAATTATCATCTAAATATGTCTATAATACACCTATTAAAAAACTCATGTAGAATTGAACATGCATGCATCACAATGATATGATTTCCTAAGGCACTCAACTTTGGTGCCCAAAGATGGCAGCAAGTGGGTCCCACTTGTTTTTCCCTGCTCCCTCTCACACCCAATAACCACACCGTGTGCCTATTAGAGACGTAAATGAATCGAATATTTTTTGTTCGATTCATGATTCGTATTCGTTTAAGGTGATTCGTATTCGATTTTTACAAATCCGAATACGAATACGAATCTGAATAAATATTCGAATCCTTATCGAATACGAATATGAATCAAAGGTATTCGATTCGTGAGTTTGACAAATATATTCGGAATATAAATCTAATTATATAAATTATATATATATATATATATGTGTGTGTGTGTGTGTGTGTATACACACACACACATATATATATATACATATATATGTATATGTGTGTGTGTGTATATATATATATATATATATATATCAAATGGTTATAAAATATTTTAAAATCTAAATGAACTGAATAATTTTAAACGAACCGAATATATTTAAACGAATCGAATATTTAAACGAACCGAATATGTTTAATATATTAAACGAACCGAATACGAATCTAAAAAAATATTCGAACCAAATTCGAATTCGAATTCGATTATCACTATATCTTAACGAATATGAATATTTTTCATGAATATTTGATTCGATTCAGTTCGTTTACAACCCTAGTGCCTATGCCTCAATTACCCAATTTATCCAAATATACCCCTCCTACCCCCCCCCCCCCCCCCCCCCCCAACCCCCCACCACACCCTCAACTCCATTATTATCCACACATTATTTATCTCCTCAAATAAATAAGTCCCATTA